TTGGATGTGTCTGTGGAGCTTCCGTGACCTTTCCTTATACAAGTTGTGCTGGTTTCCCCAGTATTGAGTACTTAAGCAACTTTTCTTAAGCATTTTTTCTAAAAAATGTACAGTGTTGTGAAATAAACACTGAATACAGCCTTATTATTAGAAAAATAGTACACGACGCCTCAAACTTATTTAATCTTTTCAAAAATTAATTTCAACTCAAAATTGTTGAGAGCTCTTGTGTTCCAGTATGGAGAAGAGAACCTTTTGTTCGCAAGGTTATTATAGACTTATAATAGTCACACAAAAAGATATGAGACAGAATGAAAGAAAATAACAGGATAGCTGTATGCCTCCAGTATTGATGTCTCTGATATAAATACTGTCGGTAGAGAATTTGAATTGTAGAAGATAAATATTTAGAAACATGAATATTTAAATTCCAGTGTGCTTTGAGCTTTATCTACTGTAATGCCTTCCCTAAGATAATACTGTTATATTATAATATTATTATTATATTTTATGATACTGGCTTATAGTTTTTTTAACCTAAAGTGATTAGATTTTCATACACTTAATATTATTATTATATTTTCCTGTTGTAGAAAGTTGCTTTATGGAATAAACGAAATTTCTGTGAAAGTGCCTTCTGTTTTTAAGCTTCTAATTAAGGAGGTAAGACTGTTGTATGTAACTCAACACTTGTGACCAATATATCTGTCCATTTGGAAAGAGCCATGACTTAAGTAATGAGAAGACATCTCAGTTTTCTATTTCTTAGCCTCTCTTTGTTTATTTCTTGCTTGGAAGGTAAAGGTCAAAACTGTGGTAGAGAATTTTTTGGCATGAATTACCTTTTTGTTTTGCCTAATTTTTTTGCTTTATTTTTTTTTTTAAAAACTCTCAAGAAGTTACATGTCTAAATCTTGCCCAATCTCACAGCTGTATACACCTGTCTCTGTTTTTTAACAACTTACCATGTTGTCTTCTTCATGTGGTATTTTGTGGTACACTGGTAAAGACTAAACATTGGACCAGAACGGTGGAATATAAAATAACGACCTGATGATTGACTTTGAGGAGCTTGGACTTTTAGTCCGGGAGGAAAGCATGTTCCATTGTAAGTGCCACTGAAATGGTGTGAGTAAAGAATTGTGGACGTGTAAAGAAAGGGAGTAAGTGACTTTGCCCAGCAGAACAGTTAGGCTTGCCAGTCTTCTGTTTTTTTTTTTTTTCTTTTTTTTCTAAAAATCAAGAGTTAGTTGTATTGGGTGAATACTTTTAGTAGAAATAACAGATTGTTCCTGAAAGTGGCCTCGTAGTAGTGTTTAAGAACATAGTATAATGTAGTGTAATATTATACCATTAGTAACTAACTTTGATCTTTAGAAAACCTTTCTGTTTGTTGCTCCTTTATCTATAAAATTAGAATCACTCATTTCTAATTATCTCATTTGGTTTTGAGGTAAAAAGCGAGTGTATATGTGTAAAAGTACCTTGAAAAGCATGGAAGCACCAAATTTTAAGACCCTGGGGTTATAATGAAATTGGTAAAATACCACAAAATTTGGGTAAATGAAGTCCATTGCCAGGATTTTCCCTTGTCTCTTTATTCGGAGGTTAAGCCTTAAATTTTCCTTAGAGAAGGCAAAGTAATGTAACCCATTATTGCATATTTGTCTTCCCTTTGGAGTCCAGTGGACATTCAACTTACAAGTAAATTTATTCGTATTAAGTAAACATTAGTTCCATTTGATTATAAGCTTTGCATCTTTTAGCAGCCCAGAGCACAGTAATTATTGGAAGTAAATGTACTTTATTGCTAACGCAGAATGCAGAATAGCTGAGTTGATAAGATTTAGCTGTTTCTAGCTGAATCTATATTTGGGTTTGGTACTAATCTGAACGGATGCAAATAATTCAAATTAAGCTTATTTGTTTAGCCAGAGTCTAGTAGTGTAATGGAGCCCTGATGTCCCAGTGGTTAATCGTTTGGCTGCTAACTGGAAGGTTAGCGCTTCGAATCCACCAGCTGCTCCTTAGAAACCCGATGGGGGCAGTTCTGCTCTGTCCTGTGGGGTCGCTGTGAGTCAGAATCAACTCGAGGGCAATGGGTTTGGTGTCTTTTTTTTTTTTAAGTAGTGTAATGGTAAACAAGTACTATGCTAACATACTACCCTACTCTCTAGGGTAGTACACATTACTCTAGGGTGTTATAGAGCTTGTTCTGTAACTATCTTTTTATTTCTTCTTAAATGAAAAGATGGAGGAATCTGCATTGCTATAAATACCTCATTCAGTTTGGTTTAAAATCTTGTTTTTTAGGTTCTCAACCCATTTTACATTTTCCAACTGTTCAGTATTATTCTGTGGTGCACCAATGAGTACTATTACTACGCTATAGCCATTGTGATTATGTCTGTCATATCAATTGTAAGCTCACTATATTCCATTAGAAAGGTAAGTCCAGTTTATTATGGGTTTTGCAACTATGGCTAAAACTGTATTTGCATTTTGTAGTACCTGTAAGGTGTGCAGAATAGGGTTTGGTACAAAGCAAGTACTCAATAAATATCAGCTATAATTATTTTAGTTATATGAATATGTACTCTTTTCTCTCCATGCCCTCCCCTTGCCCCCCTTTTTTTCCCCTCTTGTGGTTAGGGGAAGGCAGATGGATTTTAGACTCAGATCACCCCTTGACTGCTTGGGGGGCTGTAGGCATCTACGATTGCTTATCTCAGTTTAGAAGACTGGTGGACTGTTTCTGCTGGTGTTAGGGCTGTTGCATTAAAGTGCTGCTTATTTTGTCTTGAGCTAAAACAGTGCTTTGTTAAAACGTTGACACGTTATTTTATAAAGGCAGAGCAGTGTACGTTTATTGTATTACGTTATCCTATTTTATAGCACTCCTGCTTTTCAAAAATATCTTGGCTCATATTTGCCAAGAGTGGGTTTGTATTTGCTGGTTTTCTTTCATTTTCCTCTTTCAGCATTATGTTACGTTGCATGATATGGTGGCAACTCACAGTACCGTGAGAGTGACAGTTTGCAGAGGAAGTGAAGGTAAGTGCTTCCAGTGACTGTTGCAAGAATAAACCAGAACAGATATCCACTAAGCGCTAATGTGTATGGTCAGCCCAATGTATTATACACTATGATTCATTTTTTTATTGTAGGAAAATATATATATATATATA